AAGGAAAAAAAAAAAAAAAAAAAAAAAAAAAAAAAAAAAAAAAAATACACGTTTAGGGCCAGCCCGGTGGCGCACTCGGTAGAATGCGGCGCTTGGGAGCATGGTGGCGCTCCCGCTGAGGGTTCGGATCCCATATAGACACCGGTCTGCTCACTGGTTGAGCGCGGTGTGGGTGTGACACCGAGGGGTCTGATCCCGTTGCCGGTCGCGGTACGGGCGCGACACCGAGGGTTGCGATACCGTTACCGGTCACGAAAAAAGATAAAAAGGAATGGGCCGGCCCAGTGGCGCACTGCTACAGTGCACTGCTTGGGAGCGTGGCGGTGCTCCTGCTGAGGGTTCGGATCCCACAAACAGACCGGTTCCCGCTCACTGACTGAGCGAGGTGCGGGCGCAACTGCTGAGGGTTGCGATCCTGTTACCGGTCCCAGTCTGGTATGGGCGCGACACTGAGGGTTGCGATCCGTTGCCGGACATGAAAAAAGACAAAAAGGAAAAGAAAAAAAAAAAAAAGACAAAAAGGAAAAAAAAATACACGTTTATAGCAAAAAATCAATAGTACAGAAGGTTATGAAGTAAAAAGTATGTTTCCCCCTTTAACCGCATTCCCTCTTCTCACAGGTTAACATTTAATTTTTTATGTCACTTTCTAAAAATCTTCTATGTATGTGTATGTATGTAGCATGTGTATGTATGCATGAGTACGTGTTTGCACGTATACTCGCATGTGTGCAGTCACATGTCACTTAATGACCACAACACATTCTGGAAATGCATTGTTAGGCGATTTCATTGTTGTGCAAACATCATAGAGTGTACTTATGCAGACCTAGATGGTACAGCCCACTGCACACCTGGGCTATAAGGTATAGCCACTGTCGTACATGTGGTCTGCCGCTCACTGAAATGTCACATGGCGCAAGACTGTACCAGCAACAGCATGAAGGGAGCAGAGCTTCCTCCCTGGGGTGTGAGCTATTACTGCAGTGAGAGAATCCTCACATGAAGCATCCATCTAGCTGAAGGAACTCCTTGAAGGAGCATTGATGCAGCTCCACAAGAGGCGCTGGAATTCCGTGAGACTTTTCCTTTACAGTTTGAACAATGGCTCAATTTTCCTATTGCATGGTAAACACTGACACATCTCTGAGTAATATCTGGGTGAGTATCTTCATGTAGTCTTCCCTGAAGGTTTTTTTTTCCTTTTTGTCTTTTTTCGTGACTGGCAACGGATCGCAACCCTCAGTGTCGCGCCCGTACCGGACCGGGACCAGCAACGGGATCGCAACCCTCGGCGCTGCGCCTGCACCTCGCTCAGCCAGTGAGCGGCCGGTCTGTATGTGGGATCCGAACCCTCGGCGGGAGCGCCGCCGCGCTCCCAAGCGGCGTACTGTAGCAGTGTGCCACTGGGCCGGCCCTTCCCTGAAGGTTTTGTTGGTTTGTTTTTGGTGGCTGGCTAGTATGGGGATCTGAACCCTTGACCTTGGTGTTCTAACACCGAGCTCTGACCGACTGAGCTAACCCACCAACCCTAAGTCATTTTTTTGTTATCTCGCAGTGAAGGCTTACTATCAATATGAAAAAAAAGCCCATTCTGATCCATAAGAACTTGATTTCCTTAAAGTAGATTACTGAAACATATGAATATAAAGTTTATCCATTCACCACCTATAACTGCCTACATATTTTTATAATCACTATTGTGTGTGGTTTTGCTTTGTTTCTAATGGGGAGACAATCTGGTTTGGCACTAGGAAACCATGCAATATTTTGCCAGAAGACCCCATTGCTCCATTAGCATTGTCATAACACTATTGGGAACTAAAAACCTACATTCTGAAGTGGGAATATGTAACAGGGGCCTACAGTTTTTCAGTGACCCCAACTGCTGCCTTGAAAAATTGTGACCAACCCACATCTTAGAAAACAAGGGAACTTGCTTTACACTGGTATATAAAGTGTAAGGAGAAACTTATTAAATGCAATAGAATTCTGTTTTCCTTTCTGGATAAAAAAAATGCTGAACTACCGCATTTCAGCTGAGACTTAACATTTAGCTACAACGAACTAATGTGATACGAGGTGCTGCTATTTCCATCAAGCCAGAGGCCATGACCCACTGCCTACTGGAGACAGGCAGGACATGCAGAAGAGTGAAGGGCCATGTGTCATACGATAGGGAGTGGTGGGGACCGGGGTAAACTGGACAGCACAGCCCAGTCTAAAGGGCACAGGCTCCTCAGATTTGGTTGACTGTTGCCTCTCAGGGGAATTCTGATTCAGTGTTACCAGATCTTCTGATGTTTCAAGAGAAGACAGAAGACTGGATTTTCATGCAAAATCTCCCAAGTTTTAAATGTTAGCAACTACAATTCACTGTGTGGGGTCGAAACATTGCTGTAGGTAGAATATGGCCCACAAGCCACCAATATTAAGTAGTGGGAAGGGGAACAAAACCCCATTTTACTTCTCTTTCACTCCTTTATCTGAAGGTCTCTAGGTTTTCATGCTAGGATTGGAAGAAACAGGCACACGTACTTGAGATTAAGACCCCAAAGAACTTCAAGGGAAATCTTACATGATGATGAAAAGAAAAATAACTCAAAGAGAGTCAATTCAATGTTATTAACAGCTTACCAAAATTTCTTGGGCATCGGAACCAAGTTTCTTTAATGAAATTAAGTAATAACACCTTTATGTTCCCATAGCAATTTAAGAGTTTTACAACTAATTTTCATATTCATTTTTCTACTTGATCCTCACATCTTCATTTTTCAGATAATAACATAGGAGCACAAAGCAGACAAATGACTTGCCTGAGGCTCTCCTGCTAGTCAGTGGCAGAGTAAATGAAAACAGAGTCGTCTGGATTTTAGGGACTGTTCTCACTCAGCATGGCTGTCCAGGGCAACCTATTTCATAGATACTTGCTATGTATTTTGTTTTACTCATTATATCTGACAACGTTCTAATAGTACAGTGCATTAGAACTGGAAGGGTCATTACAGACAATGTAGTCTAGTAGTTCTCAACTTTTCTCTGCTTCCGTGTTGTTTACATGCGTAACACATTCCCAGCAGAAACACTGCTGAATGTGGTTATTCCTAGCTAAGGTGGAGAGAGAGGCACAGAATTGTGGAGGGTGGAAGAGAGTGTATGTGTAGACAGAACTGCACCCTTGAAGAAATCGTCTCCCATCAATCCCCAGCCCGCCTGCTCCCGCTCCCACCTCCAGGTTAAAAAGTCCTGGTACAGTCCATCCCTCTTTCTTTTCACGTGGCAGGTTAGGAAACTAAGGACAAGTCAGATGACTGACACGCCCAAGTTTACAGAGTAACAGAATGGCAAAGCCGAGTCTAGAACTCAACCTCTGAAACTAAAATACAAGGCAAGGAAGGGGATTCTAGTGTCTTCAAATATTCTCAAGACAATTATCACAGGTTGCAGGGTTTTGGGGGATTGTTGTTTCGTAGTGGTTTAATGACTTTTCTGGGACACCAGACGCACAGCTTCTCTTACCTCCCATCCTTCCATTTCCAGTCCTCTCTTCCCATATATATCATAGATGGCCCTGGTTTGGGGATCACTAAGCACTGCAAATTAAAAATCAAACATGTTTACAAATACAAAATTCACTGTTCAGTCTTTTCTGAAAACAATGACAACAATGTCATTAGGTAAGTCCATCTCTTGTTCCTCTTGGTCTGATCATAAGCTTCCTAGAGACCCTCTTCATTTCCTAAGCGTCCTTCCCCTCCTAATTGCTTTTCCAAGCCAACCTAGGATATGCTTAAAGGTGGCTATGAGTGAGAAAAGTCAGATTTTTCCAATGTCCAAGTTACTCTTAATTGTAAGGTACATCTTGTAGCTACCAAGGCATATAAGTTGCACCGTTAAGGAAGCTGCGCTGGCACTTGAATCACTCGAGGATAGTTATTTTCAAAAGAATTTGGTAAGTTTCTGCCACAGTGCAAAAAATACACTGGCTTGAAAGAACTGATTCCAGTTTCTAAAGAAGCTTAATGTAAAACTAGGGATAGGCTCTGATACTAGAAAAATCTGATTTATTATTTACTCTGTAGTTTTACCTGTTCCAAAGACAGTCTTCATTTTTTTGGTGCCCCTCTCCTCTTTATTTGTAAATCATTTTAAAAGGTACAAACACCTCTCACAATGTTGTGGGCCACATCATCTAAAGTAATTAGAAGATTTCCCAGCAAGGGTGAGGGCTATTCTGAGGATCTCCAACCCCAACTTGAAATCAGTGAAGCCAGCATTCCTTAGCTCCCTCCTCGACTCTACTGTTCCAAGTTCTGTTCAAGACTTTTGCATCTTTGTTCCCCCGAGAGTTACCATATATTTTTAGGCTCCATTCAAAATTGATGTAAATGATTCTATCCATATTCAAATCTAATGAAAAAGAAAGAAATGCTGACCACTGGAAAACACAGGAGCCAGACCTCTTGAATTAACCTCTGGGATTTAATAAGAAATATTTATTTACTATTTTATTTTAGTTTCCCTTTAGGCTCAACACGGGGCCAGATCTGCTGCTGCAGTACTTTCATAAGCACCAGTGGTTTTTCTGTTAACTCTTCCCCAAATCTCCAAAACAATACAAGCAAACTATGTGGATAATTTAAACAGTAAAATTAATGCAGCCATTTAGACAACAGATTATAACAAAAAGGAAAGGCTTTTGGTCTCGATTGCCACATAAATGTTCTGAATAGAGTTAAATTTGGTAATAATACAACACCAACTACACACATTTATCATGTACTACAGCTGGCTTTTTACTAGTCATTAAAATCTAAGTTTTTGATAAAACTATAAAGTGAAATACACTATAAGCTATTACGTCCACAGTAAAAAGTCTTTATTATTTTGTAAAGAAACACATTATCTATTTTTTGGTCTAATTAAGGAGTAAATCACCAAATGGTACTGGAATAAATAATTATTTTACTTGATATATGAGGGTACTTCAAAAAGTTCATGGAAAAATGGAATTAAAAGAGAATACCCCCCTGCCTACAGAATTTTCAGGGGAAAAAAAAGATAACACACATCTTTCCATGAACTTTTTGAAGACTCTGCATGTATCCTAGGAGTGATTAGCATATTAAAAATTTTTACTTAATTGGTAAAATATACATAACATAAAATTTACCATTTTAAAGTGTAGAATTCAGTACCATTAAGTACATTTCACAATGCTGTGTAACCATCATCAGTATCTGTTTCCAGAACTTTTCGTCATCCTAAACAGAAACTCGATACCCCTAAGTGACTTTAATATTTTATAAACATGTATCACAAAATTTTCTTTCTAATACACATAAGATGTAACTGTAAAAATCTGAGTGACTTGGTTCTGTTTCCTATCAGCCTTCTTAACATCTTCTTTCTTTTGTTAGAACCTCTCTTTGACTGAATGCTACAGAACCAATAAAAATCACTTCAGGATGAAAAAATGTCCTTGTATCTTCTCACAAAAGAAGAGAACAAAGAAGGCTTCCCTGTAATGATCAGCCTTTTACCTCTAAGATTTCCCTTTAGAAGAAAGCTGGTAAACGATTTAAAACCTGAGCATTCCCCTGCAATTCAGACTCTGGTCTATTACTTCACCTGGACTCTCATTTCCTACGTACGGGACACATATTGATTTCCAAAGCAAAATACTACTCTTTCAAAGGACCCTGTCAGTAAAAAGTACTAAACTAACCACCTCTTTTATATACCTCTAAGGACTCTCTTTTTCTATCCTCTACAAATCAAGTCTGTTAAAAATTGAATATCTGCTACCAGGGTGTTTCTAGGAAGCCAAGCCCTCCACTGACCTTCATAAGCCTGGTGAACAAGGTTAAATAGTCGTTCCGCTTGTGACTTGAGCTCTGGGTCTCTGTGCTTGTCTGGATGGTAAAGCATACACAGCCTCCGGTAGGCAGCTTTAAGCTCTTCAGAGGAGGCCTACAGAAAGAAAAATTCAATTAGAGAACAATCAATGCCACTTAAACATTATCATCATCAGAATCAGCCTTGAAATGGGAACCTTTCAGCCACATTCCGACTGTTTGCTCTCTACATACAGGACATAATGAAGTTATTCTTTATTACCTCAATAAAGCTTCTTTTTTCCACAGTTAATAAAGTGATCAATTATGTACATCAATAGTGACCGAGTTTTGCTGGGAAATGCTATCAGACGGAATAAAAGCTTATGTCTCTATATTGGCTCAGTGTGCTCTGAGCTGAAAACTAAAATGTCATAGAGACCTGCTTACTCTTTAACCTAAGTTGTTTCAAGTAAATCACGCCAACGTACTCTCAACAGAGAATATATTCAGGAAGAAAAAAGCTACATGCAATTAGGCAGAAATGACATCTATTTAATCAGTTTTTGACAAAGGAGATTTAGTGAATATTAATCCTTAAAAATCAAAGACAAGGGGGCTGCGGTTGGCTCAGCTGATTGGAGTGCAGTGTTGATAACAGCAAGGTCAAAGGTTCAGATCCCTGTACCCGCCAGCTGCCAAAAAACAAAAAACAAAGACAAATAAACTGTAAAACCAACACGCCCTCTAATTCAACCTCGAATTCCAAAAGGCAGCAATATAAAGTGGCTTTATAAACCTATAGTAACCAAACCTCCACTCCCCCATCCCCCCAAAACCTAAAGGCCTTTTCTCAACACAGTAACTCTCCAATTCTCCTGAGTAGTCCATTTGAAAGGGAAAAACACACTTATTCAAAGCACAGAGGACACGAAGAGCAGAATGGGCCCTGCGTGTGCTTAACCATGTGGAAGGCAGGGAGAAGGAGCAGAAGTAAAATCCGCCTTCTCCTTGGCATGCCTCAGCTGCCAAAAAGTTCTCAGAAGCCCCAGGAACACTTATAGTCTATTTACTGGCCCTTCGGGTGTGTTTTGGGGACCATTTTGGTCTATCAGAGGTGATGTTGAAGGGGCACCTCTAGATCTAGATGATTTGTCAAGGAAAGACCATTTTATTTTGGACGCAACTCAGCCATTTTGATAGCTGGAGCACATTTCTGGGTCACTGACAACATGTCAGAGGGGCCCGAAAAACCAGCCATCTGGACAGAAGAATGGGTCCAGGTCCCCAGTGGCCCAGGATTGATGGTGCTCTAATATCAGGTCCTGGAACACAGATCCTCAAGGAGAAAGAACATGGCATAATCAGTCCAGGGACAACATCTACAAAGGAGAATGTTACACTTATTTCTCTATGATTGCCATGATTTTCAATATCTTTCAATTCCAGGACTAATTTGTTTTTGCCAACAAAAGAAAGTAAGACTTTACTGTAGTTTAGTAATATTTTCTGGCAGGTAAGTATTTTCTGTAAGACTAAGTTATTCAGATGCTAGAAAACCAGGAAATCTGTGCCCGTTTACCAGAGATTCTAAACAAGAAATTCTGAGGAACTCCAAGAGGAAGACAAGAGATGTGACTGGAAAGACACACACAGGATGCATGGCCCACGGGTCCTGTGCCCCAGAGGAGAGGCTGCGGGGGAGGCCTGGGTTCTGTGTGCTCAGGCCAGGGCAGTTTCTTCATGAGGAGTAGGTGGCTGGGTGGATGACCTGCAAGAGTCTCTCCAACTTCACGTGATTCTGTCATCCACAAAAGAAAGTTAGACCTGAGCCACTCAGCTTGTCCTTTAAGCCAGGCCGCAGAGGGCTTGGCTGCTGTGCAGAGGCACATCCACACGCACCCTGTTTCATGCAGGAGCTCCTTGAAGTCTTCCACCATCTATTCCATCAGCAAATGTCAAGGATCTTGCTGACTTGGCAACCCTTTGCCTCCAAAAACTAGGTAGACTTCTGCCCCCACCTCCCGCTAATCTCTTTCTTCCATCTTCTCTTCTGGACAGCCTTTGGGAATCATACTGTTTGGTGGTGGTGGTGGGGGGGGGGACTGGCTGGTATGGGGACTGGAACTCTGAACCTTGGTGTTACAAAACTCACTCTAACCAACTGAGCTAACTGGCCAGCCCTATCACACTACTGAATGAGTTTTAGTTGACTGCCTTCCTCTCTTCTCTCCATTGGGTTATCTATGTGATTTACTCTGCAGTGCGGTAATTCACCAACCGTCCTTCCTAGTGGTTAAGAACACAGGCCTTGGAGTTCAACAGCCTGTGTTTGGATACCTGATCTGTCACTTCCAAGCTCTGTGACTGGGCAGATGAGCTTTGTGACCTTTATCTCTTTCTCATCTGTAAAAGGGGATAATAACACCTTTCAGGGACGGAATGAGAATGAAATGAGACAGTGACTATCAAGTGCTTCACACAAAAATTTATAAATTATAGCTCTTTTAAAACCCCTTGTTTACTCATCTGAACACTGTGGACAACAGGGTCTCTCTGACAAAGGTATGGTGAGGCAGAAATAAGATAATACATGTACAGGTGCTTAAAAATGCCTTGTACAGGGCCGGCCCAGTGGCGCACTCAGTAGAGTGCGGCGCTTGGGAGCCTGGCGTCGCTCCCGCCGAGGGTTCGGATCCCATATATACAGACCGGTCCACTCACTGGTTGAGCGCGGCGCAGGCGCGACACCGAGGGTTGCGATCCTGTTGCCGGTCGCGGTACGGGCGCGACACTGAGGGTTGCGATCCCATTACTGGTCATGAAAAAAAAGACAAAAAGGAAAAAAAAAATGCCTTGTACATAGTAGGAATGTAACCGCTTTGGCTATTTTTATCATCACAATTAAATTTCGATATCCCTTCAGTGGCATAAATACTGAAACTGGAACAACCCAGAGAGAGGGACCTGTTTCTGAAAATTCACTGAGCTGTATGCTTATGAGATGGGCACTTTTCTGTATGTATATTCTATTTCAATAAAAATACAGGGCTCCCGAGAAGAGATGGGCCTCGATATTTCCAGCTCTGCATTTTCTTCTTTTTCTTCTTCTTGCCAAAGGCTCCTTTCCTTGCCAATGCTATTTACGTGATGCAGCTCTTGCCACACTTACCAATATGGCAACTGTACCAAGCCCCAGTGTTTAAAACATAAATATTAGTAAACAATGGGAAAATAAAATATATCAATATATCTTCTCCACGTACGTTTACTTATGTGATGATGTAAAAGGGGCTTGTTCTTTCCTAAACAGCCATAAGAAACTATTTTCTTTCTTTCTTTCTTTCTTTTTTGTTTTTTGCTGGCTGGTACAAGAATTGAACACTGGACTTTGGTGTTATCAGCACCATGGCCACTGAACCAACCGGCCAGCATAAACTATTTTCTTTCTTTAAATTTTAATTGTTCTTTCCTGTATCTCATAAAAGTTACAAGTACAGGATTACACAGATTTGGCAGACTCTAAGATAGACTACTATTTCCCGGTTATTAAAATTATACTAGATGACAAGGGAGTAGAATATCTAGTCTGCAAGACCTTCTTTAATCATATTAATAAATGGCTTAGCATGCTATTGATTAAGTAATAGGAATGAGAAGTTTAATTTTTAATAAATATCATATTCAATGAAAGGTTAGATTGAGCCCTTTATCATAACTGAATAACTAAGGTCACTGGTTCAATATTTCATGAATGATAACCTCTTTTGCTATCATAAAAATACTGATATCATTTCAAAATGTAATGAGATATCATTAAGAATGATACCTAAAGTTACATACTTATTTCTAAAATTCCAAAATAAAATTAAGATATGTATCATGTTTCAAGTTTGAAAAGTTTCATCATCTCAATCATCTGGTTATATTTTCACTGGACAGATTATATGTTAGGGCACAAATTAAGTCTCAATAGATTTTAAAAGACTGATATCATGCAAAGTATCTTTTCCTACCAAAACAGGATAAAGTTAGAAATCAATAACAGAAAGAAAACTGGAAAATGCACAAATGTGTGGAAATTAAACAACACTCTCTTAAAAAACCAATGGATCAAAAAAAATTACAAAGGAAATTAGAAAATACTTAGAGACAAATGAAAATGAAAACATAACATACCAAAACTAATGGGATGAAGTGAAAGCAGTGCTAAGGGAGAAATGTATAGATATAAACACTTAGTTAAAAAACAAGAAAGACTGGGGCCCTGTGGCATAGGAGCCAGGGACTGGACCCCCCTCTCCCCCCACAACCAAGCACACCACCAGAGCCAAGGTGCATGCCCAAAACATCACCTCCATGTGGGTGGCCCACCATAGCCACCACAGTAACCCCAGCTGCTGTGAAAATGGCTGGACATCACAACCACCACACAGATGGTCCACCAGCCACTGGAGTGCACTGACACAAGGAGAGTCACCAGCAGAGTCCAAAGAAAAGAACAGGATGTTCCTCTCCACAAAGTCCATTCCAGAGGGACAGAAGAAGCATCTGCTCTATGATAATATTGGAGGACCTGAACACACCTTTCAGCATTGAACAGATCATCTAGGCATCAAATCAACAGAGTAACATTACTCTTTCAGAGGGAGAGAAGAAATCAGTGTTATCAGTGGTGGGAGGTGGGAGCGAGAGGGGGATAGAGAGAGATTGGACAAAGGGCATAAAAAATAAGTACAATTTGTAACAATATACATACTAGTAATATTGATTTGATCAACATATGTCAGCACTGAATCCCCAAAATATGTATAATCAATTATGATTCAATAAAAAAAGAAAAAATAAATAAATAAACATATAAAAAAAGAAATCAGTTGCATTTCTATACACTAACAATGAATAATCTGAAAAGGAAGTTAAGAAAACAGTTCCATTTATAATAGCATCAAAAAGAATTATTTAATAGAAACTACAAAACATTGCTGATAGAAATTAAAGATGACACAACAAATGGAAAGACATCTCATACTCATGAAATGGAAGACTTAATACTGTTAATATTGTTAAAATGTCAATACTATCCAAAGCAATCTACAGATTCAATGCAATTTCTATCAAATTCCCAGTGATG